TCGATAGAGTTGAATTTTGTTGTTTTTGTTTGACCCGTCATGATCTTTTCTGTGATTTTTCTCTTGTTGGTTGTAACTTTTGTTTGTTCTTGTTTTTTAGCCAAGAGCTCCAGTAGACCTTTGGCTTGTATTGAATTTAATAAAGTAACGCCCCCTTGGGCGACGCTCATTGAGAAGGCTCTACTGTCAGTTTTTAATAAAATTACTGCACACGTGTAGAACAGAATTTCTAGGTTAGGTTGTAGAGTATGTGTCACGTTGCACTATATATTTCCTATCGATGTGAACAGCTCGGTGGCCAAACGTCGAATCTTTTTCGAGTGCCCTGGGCTTTTTTTTTTTTTTTGCTTTTAAAAGATTTTTATTGATATCATATAATTAACATCGTTATTACAAAATTATTACAGTATTTATGATTTCTGACCGTTGGTCTCTACTCACATTCAATATATATAGTTTTGTTTATGCTTTACATATTTTATGAAAAATAACATATAGGATATTTATTGTTTTTAGGAAAAAAAGTTTATAAAAAACCTAATTAGATTTATAATTACAGTAGTTGTTGTTTCTTACATACTAAACTTAAAACTAGGACTAGAGAGTTGCTAATTGATTACGGTCAATTAGCATTTGATTAGGCATTTTGTACTTATGCCATGGATTTATATTCATATCACCGCATATATTGTTCATGAATTCATAATTTTTGACTGAATTATAGAAGTTCATAGTATGACGATAAATGATATCTTTAATTAGTGGCAAACCTGTTTGCTTATGTAATTCTATGATAGATATACGAGGCTTAGCATTTATAGCCATCCATATTATTTTGTTTTGGATTTTCTGCAAGCGGTCAAAATTATATCCTTTAGTATTACTCCATATAGAAGTCGCGTATAGTAATATAGGTCTTATGCACATAGTGTTTATAATTAACTTATTTCTTACAGATACTTTACTGTTTCTATTGATTAATGAGTATAGAATAGAAATTGCTGCGTTAGCTTTGCTAATTACAGTCGATATATGTTTGTTAAATGTGAGTTTAGGGTCGAGTATAAGACCCAAATATTTCGCGTCATCAGTTGCTTTGAGTTCTTGTCCATTCATTTTAAGGATTTCGGTGGGAGATTTCTTTTTATGCGTAAATATCATAAATTCGGTTTTATTTACATTAATTTTTATTTTCCATTTAATGTAATATTCATGTAGTATGTTTATGTGTGACTGAAGGTTTTTAATTATTACATCTTTAGACCAGGAGGTGGTTAATATCCCTGTATCATCTGCAAATAAAGTTAATGTTATTTTATTATGTTTTGGGATATCATTGATATATAGTAGAAATAACAGTGGTCCAAGAATGGACCCCTGTGGTACGCCCGCTGTTATTTTGCGTTCAGAGCTATGAGTATCCCCCACCGCAACCCTAAATGAACGTTGATTTAAATAACTAGCAATAAATTTGATTATGTATTTTGGTAAATTGTAGTTTGCGAGCTTGTAGATCAGAGCTTTTTGCCAGACAGTGTCGAATGCTTTCTCAATATCTAAGAGAAGCAGTCCGCTACTATGATTTTTATTAAAATTTGAACTAATATATTCTGTCACTCGCAGTAATTGTTGCACAGTACTGCGATTTTTCCTAAATCCAAATTGCTCGTTGATCAGGATATCATTTTTATCAATAAGGTCTCGCAATCTATTATTTATTATTATTTCTAATAATTTACCAAGAGTGCAAAGCAAACTGATGGGACGATAGTTCTGGGGAAATAATTTATCTTTTCCTGGCTTATGGAATGGTAAGATAATTGCTTTTTTCCATGAGTCAGGAAAGTATGATAATAGCAAGCATGCGTTAATTATATACACCAACTGTACTATTGCCTTTTTTGGTAATTGTTTCAGTACAATATTTTGAATAGAATCATGACCAGGTGCTTTCCTTGCTTTAGTCACTTTAATAGCCTTGATAATCTCTTTCGAAGTAGTTAATGGAATTGAATTGCTGTCTAATTTTTCAGTTATTATACTTCTATAGATATTATTAACATTTTTTTCAGTTTTACAATCACTGAGATCTTCTGTTAATGTGTGCGTCTCTTCAAACACATCAGCAATTGCTGAGTGCCCTGGGGCTCCGCGACTCCGGTTTATATAACTCTTTCAGCTGGCGGTGGGGACAAAATAAGCTTTGTCATTGGTCCGGGAGCTCCTATACCCCTTCCACTGTACTTTGACTGGCGCGCATATTCGCGGCGCATCGCGGCTTCCGAGTCGCCTGGCCCGCGAGCTCCGATTTTCCTTGACACGGTCTTTGGCTCGCGCGCACCTTTACGGTGCATCGCGATTCCCGAGCTGCTTACTTGGCGGTAACCACCAAGTCCTTACTGGTGACTGGCGTTTTTGTTTGACGGTGACCGTCAAGTAAGTTTCGCGCATGCGCGAAACTTTTCTTCCTTCGTGTATTTTTTTTCTCTACGTACTTTTTTTTTTTTTTTTTCCTCATTAATAAATAAATATTTTTTTCCTTCCGTCACAATCTGTATAACTTTAACTTGTATAAAAGTTGTAAAAAACAAAAATAGATTTTTTTCTGAAATTCAAAAAATTTTTTTTGAAATTCAAATATATATCTTTGAAAAAAAAAAATATATATATCTTTGAAAAAAAAAAAAACCCCTGTCCAAAAATTTCAGGATCTTTTAAGATCATTACAAGGTATCATACAAAAAAAATTGAGCCAAAATTTTAATGGCGGTCTTCATTTTTGACAATTTTCAAAAATTCAAAATTTGACAAATTTGGCATTTTTCGAAATTTTTTTTCAAAATATTTTTTTTTCAATAGCCCCAAGTGTCCCCTTTTAAACAAACAAAAGCCCATTCCTTTATCTATAATAGCATTCGAGATATTGCAAAAACAAAATTGAAAAACTGGAAAAATCGCGAAATTTTGAATTTGTATATCTTTCGAAAAAAATTTTTTTATTTTTTTCCCTTCGGCAGAACTTCGTTTTATGATAAAAGAAAACTTCTAACCAAAATTCATCCAAATCGAAAGGGGTCGATTCCAACTAGTGGTCGATTTGACATGGAATGACCCCTATATTATTAAGAGAATAAGAAAAATTTTGTTTCCAGGATAGTCATATGATAAAATCGGTTTTTTTTTTTAAATGAAATTTAGTGTCATTGCAAAGGTTTTATTATATATATATATATATACATATATTTTTTTTTATTTATTCGATTTGAATGCCAAGGCATCAGCCAAATGGCAAAAATACAAAAATAAGTAATATAAAGTACATGTAAGAGTATAAACAGGTCTATATAAACATATTAACAATATTTAAATTAGAAAAAATAATCAGCTAATTACATTCAGTCAAAGTGAAATGAAATAAGAGTAACAAGGAGTTTAAAAATATATATGTATATATGAAAAATATATCAAAATTCATGTGAATACTCAAATGAAAGCTCTCGATGAGTGTAACATCGGGACGAGCTTATATTATCTTTAAAAACGTCAATATTTAAGAAAGTACAGTGCAATTTAACAAAATTCATTATTTAATAAAGCAAAATTTTCATTTTTTCTATTGAATTTAATTAATTATTGGATTTTAGGTATAACAATATCTTGATATAAAATGGATGAACAGAAGAAATCGAAAATACCCTTATGGCAAGAACAGGGTGGAATAAATTCAAGTACTCGTCCCTGGGATAATACTCTAAGGGATGTTACGTGATGCAAATTATTAAAGCAAATATAATTGGAAATAAAAAATTTTTTTTTCTAAAAACAAAAAAAAATAAGTTTTAAAAATAATTCAATGAAGTAATAAGGTAATGCTCATTGTCCGTAACTAGTTCGTTGGAAAAAAATTACAATAACTAGACAGAAGGGAAGTTTATTGTCCAACCAGTTTCAGTACTCAGCCTTAGTTGGGAAATTTTCGCCATATGTGTGTATAGAGTCATATGTGGAAGTAAAAAACTGCACGTGCATAAAGTCTATTCACATATACACCTCATACACACCTCATACATAGTTGTACATGAATATAAAATAATTCAGTGGTGTATCTTTATATATATGTACAACAGAATACCTTTATATTCGAGAATTGTATTGATATACCGTGCAGTCTTTAAAATGCATTTTATTCTGTACGACGGCGCAAATCTGACGCAGACGCGGTTCTTAAGCATTTATATATAAATGTAAGATATTGGCACACATAACATTGTAGACGTAATATTTTTTTTCAGTGTTATATATAATTTTAGTTGTAAATTGTGGGTGTTGACAACCACATGTTTTGCCGAGTAAAATTTTACCAGATACCTAAATTTAAAATTTGAGCTCCTAGGGTCGGAAATCTGAAAAAAGTATCACTTATTTACATATGTGACATTTGTATCGTTAAAAATAAAAAATGTTCGGTTTTATAATTCTAAATTGTAAACATTTTACCAGTCATTAGCAAATTTATTACTTAAATAAGGTCATATTTGAATTTATTTATTGTTGTGTTATTAATACGGCAATTTTTATTAGTGTTTGCATTGTGTGACCTGTAGTTGAACGTTTAACTCATAAAAAATTCATTATCATTTCTCTTGCCAGCTATTATTCACTTGCATAATCGTATAATCGTGAATCGTGTGACGATAATTAGTCTAGTCACGAATGAAACATTTGACTGTTCGGAAATAAAATCACTGTAACAAGGGGAAAAGAATATGAGTTAATTTTTTATCGGCTGATAGCCGTACACGCCTCTTATTTATAAATTTAGTTTACATTTTTTGTTATTATATTAATGTGATAAAAATTTCTAGTCAAAAATTATGTGCAACAAAATTGACGTGTTTTATTTTATATAAATTATTTTTAAAGAATAATAGACAGAGATAGAAAAATTTGTTATTTAAATGCATTATCACCTCTGATGTAAAAAGTGTAAAACCATTAAAATGATACGGATAGCTTCATGCTATTTAAAACGTCTAACTGTTGTGATACTTCTTGCGGCGTTTGTTTATTGCGTTGTTCAAGTCCTGAAATCAGAGTTAAATTTCAACGACAATGATTTGTCTAACAGTGACAAGTTGTAAGTACTTTTAATTAAAATTAATTTAGTAGATGTTTAATGATTTTTAGTATTTTTTTAACAAATAAATTATGGCAAAAAAAAATTGACATGTAGAAATTTTTAAATACAATTTTTTTTAAATAATTTTTCAAAAAAAATTTATTTCTTAAATAAAATTAAAAAATTATCTTTAATTTAATGTCATTAATTTAGAAGATATTAAGAATTTTTTTTAACAAATGAATGATCGCAAAAAAGTGAGAAAAAAAATGTCATTTTAAAATTTTTAAAAAATAAAAAATGCAATTTTTCAAAAATAATTTTTTGGAACAAATTTGTTTGTTAAATAAAATTAAAAATGAGCAAACTTTACTGTCATATGTACTTTAATAGTAAAATGATCGTGAAACGACGATGAATGTACCGTGAATTCACAGTGTCGACAAATGATCGTCGAATGACCGTCACTTGACAGTCGAATGGCAGTCATTTGACAGTGAACGACGAGTATCATTGTGAAAGTTTTTCACTGTTACTTTATGATTTTTATTCTGTATAATTATCATACTTCACTCTTCGAAAAACCAAATTTTTACTTGACTTCTTCGATTTTTTATCTAAGTAAAAAGTCGTAGATCATCGATCGATCGTCTGTCATTGCACGGTAGTTTGTAAGTGAAACGACCGTGAAACGAGCGTATAATGTCGGTAAGTCAGGAATGTTTTACTAGTCAACGAAGAAAAATTGCTGACAATATTTTATTTTATTTTATTTCCATAAAAATACTCAAACCATAAATTATAAATTATGATCACTATATATTTTTATATTATTATGTAATATTTTATAGTTGCCATCTGGCCTGTGCCTTGGCTTTAATAAATCTAAATAATTTAAATAATCAACATCGTTTTTTTTTTTTTTTTTTTTTTTTTTTTTTAAATCGGGAGATATTTTATTCAGTAATTAATTAATAAATTATAATTTAATTTCAACTTAACTATAAACTTATTTTCTACACGTCAAATACTTTCACCGTAATTCAAAAATTTGAATCCATTATTAAAAATTTGAGTTTTTTTTTTTTAGAGACGAAAACTTTAATTACGAAATTACGGAAAAATTGTTTGTTATCAAGAAAAATTATTCTGAGATTTTTTAACAATTAAATTTTTAGCAATTTCTTTTTCAAATCTTTCGGGTAAGCGATCTAAAAATTAGCATTAATTTAAAATACAAAAGAAATTACACTTATGTTACTTTTCTAATTTATTTTATTTTAATTTTATTATTTATTTATTTATATTTAATTACCTTTATTACATTTCATTAATTATTATACAAGAGACTGAATATGATGTTTTTTTTTGCAATATTTTTCATCATTTAATACAAAATACTGAGATAAAAGATAATATATTATATATGAACTACACTAGAAAATAACGTACTATCAATAAAAAGAGACTAGAATAATGTGAGAAGCCAAAAACACGTGGACTAACATTATAAATATTATAATAATTATTATTAGCGAGGATAATGGCAATGTTTTTAAGTTAAGTTTGCAGCCACTGTAAATATATGTATATAAATAATGTATTTTTATAATGCAAATAAACTTTTTCAAAAAAAAAAAAAAAGTAAAGTTTCGGGCGCGCGACCGTTTGAACCGGGTTCGAGTCCCGGTCTAGACTGTCCGAAGTATTTTTTTTTATTTTATTGTCCGTGACAGTAGCGTAAAATCACCGTATTTCGACAGTATATTAAGCGTACAGCATCGGTCATAACATCGTAGATTCACTTGCGTATACACCGTATATATTCAATAAATTAATAGTAGACATCGTTCACAACGGTATCTGATGCTGACTGATAGATCGCTCGGTAAGAACGAACTTTATACGGTGAAACGACCGTGAAACAACTGTCAAACGACCGTGCTTTCACCGTGCTGCTGAAACCGCCAGGGTAGTCTAAATCATTCTTAATTTTTAAATACAATTTTTCCCGAAATAATAATAATAATAATTATTATTATTTTAGAATGCACATTTCCCAGCTGATAAGAGACTCAAATAAGCAGAAAAAGTACACAGAAGATGGCGTCGCCTGCAAGCTTCCTGAGCTGGAGATCAACAATCCTGAGATTCTTAAATTTATCCACGAAGTTCCACCGCTGCAGTGCTCACCCGAAGACTGGGTCACTGCCGAGGGCTCACGTGTTTTCATTCTGGAACGTGCTCGCGAGCGTTACGGTCCAATTACCTGTGCTTTCAGTGGTAATTTATTAATTAGTCTACTTAATCTGTAAATCAGTTTACTAATAAATAATTAATTAATGGAAATATTTTATTTCAGAAATTTTACGTGTAGATGATTACACTGTGCGTCTTACAGAGCCTCATGAGTCTGACGATGCGTATATTTTACGCAACAGTGATTTTGTTGACGTTAAATGCGAATCTAAAATCGGTAATCAGTAAGTACTTTTTCTTCTTAACATTATCTTCATAACTTTAAAAGTAAACGTCAAAATTTTTTTTTTAATCAATTAAAATAAAAAAATACTTTAAAAAATTTCCACTAATAATCTTGACATGTGGAATTTTTTAAATAATTTTTTATAATAATTTAATTGCTATAAAATAATAAAAAAATTTATAAAAATTAATTTAGCATACATTTAATAATTTTGGTGACAAATTATTGCAAAAAAAATTGACACGTAAAAATTAAAAAAAAATAAAAAATGCAATTTTTTTTAAATAATTTTTTCGAACAAATTTTTTGGTAATTATTAACAAGTGGGGTCAACCCTATTTTAGGCCATAACTAGGTGAAAAATTAACACATTTAAAAATTTTTTTTTGTTCTGCTTGTTTTTAAGGTGCATTTATGATAAAAAATATCGTGAAAGAAAAAAATAAAGATTTCGATAGCTTTTTTGTCTTCAAAAATTGGAAAAAATTTTGGCTCATGTTTTTTTGATAAAATTTCTATTTTATCTTTTTTTGATGTTTTTCATATATTTTTTTTTTTTGAAAAGTACATAAAAAAACGAACAATTTTCTAAAAAATTTATAAATTTTTTTGAAAATTTGTAAAAGTTATTAAAATTGTAATAATCAACTTTTTTTTTTTACTTGTTCATTTTTTTATATTGTAACGTTCTGGATTTTTGGGGTTTTTCCAGTTAAACGTTTTTATATTATTTTATAATTTGAAAACTTCAGGCTGGCCTCGTTAGATGATCGATCGATCTCAGGTGGGCCTATTGCTGAACTCTCTCTATCAAAAAGATTCCTGGAACTTTGCTGACTGTGAATTACATAGCAGCAATAATATTTAAATAAAGCACAACCTCACGCGCTTCGCGCTATGAGGCGTGCAAAATATTACAATTAGATTTTTAATCTTTAATAATTCTAAATTTTACGGGAACGTTACAATATATTTTTCAAAAAAAAAATATATCAATAAAATCAAATAAAAATTTCGTTCAAAAAAATGAAAATTAAAATGGTCTACCCCACTTGTAAATATTTACCCAAATTTGATTGTTAAAATAATTAAAAATTGGTCAAGTGACTGCTAACTTAAAAGTAATAAAAATTTCTAATGTCAGTTAACGTGAATAATCTAAATTTTAGATGGCACAGCGTCCTAGCGGGTGTAAAAGAAGATCCAGAAATAAAGAAAACAATATCTTGGGAAAATATTCCCGAAGGAGGATTGAACCTGAACGTCCTGATGTTTGGATTCGACTCTCTATCCCGCAACGCTTTCATCAGGAAGCTACCGAAGACATATCAATACTTAAAACAGTCGCTGAACGCTCAGGTGCTCGAGGGGTACAACATAATCGGTGACGGGACTCCTCAAGCCTTGATCCCTATACTTACAGGTAAAATCGAGCTGGAGCTTCCCGAGACAAGGAAGCGGATGGGTGCTCTGGCGAATTACGTCGACGTGTATCCGATGATCTGGAAGAAATACAAAGACAGCGGATACATAACCGGATTCATGGAAGACGTCCATCACATCGGGACGTTTACTTACCGGCTGAAAGGCTTCAAAGAACAGCCAACAAATCACTACATGCGTACTTATTACCTGGCAGCTGAGCCATATTTCAAGTACTCGAAGAAATTCTGCATGGGTGGATTGCCGCGTCATGTGGTTATGATGAATTACATTAAAAATATTTACGACGTTTATCGTGACAAGCCTAAATTTATATTCGGGTTCCACGGAGAGCTCTCCCACGACTCTTACAATGACATCGGAGCGGCTGACGTTGATTTACTGAAGTGGGTGAAGAGTCTGCAGGACCAAGGACACCTCAACAACACGGTGCTGATCCTGATGAGCGACCACGGCCACAGATTCGCCAAAATTCGCAACACCTTGGCGGGCAAGCAGGAAGAAAGATTGCCTTTCTTTGCATTTATTTTCCCTCCGTGGTTCAAGCAAGTCCACCCGCGAGCTTACGCGAACTTTGTGTACAACACTAGGCATCTGTCGACGCCGTTTGATATCCACAAAACCCTGGAACGGATCCTCAAGATGGAAACTCCCAAGGATGCAGACACCCAGGAGCGAGACATCAGTCTGTTTGACAAAATTCCTGCGGACAGAACTTGTGCCGACGCTTTCATTGAACCTCACTGGTGCGTCTGTCTCACCTGGCAGGAAATACCGGTCACTAACAGCACCGTCGTCGAGGTAGCCTTGAGCTTTATTAAGTTTTTGAACTCTTACACCCAAGAGCACAGAAACATCTGCGAGATTTTGCGACTGGATGAAATTATGTGGGCAGCTAAGCTTGTTCCTACCAAGGGGCTGCTTAAGTTTGAAAAGTCCAGTGATAAAGACGGGTTCATCGGGGACTTTAGTGCCAAAACTCACCTGACCAATGAAATTTATCAGATTAAAGTCAAACTATCACCTGGGGGTGGAAGTTTTGAAGCCAGCATTGATCATAATATTGAAAAAAATATTTTTAGCACTAAGGTAAATTTATATTATTGCTTTTTTAATTGGTTAATTATTAACTAGCAACTTTGCAGTCATTATGTGACTGCGGAAACTTGTGAACTATAAATAAGTGAAATTTTGCTTTATTAAATAATGACTTATGTTAAATTGCACTGTACTTTCTTAACTATTGATGTTTTTAAAAATATAAGCTCATCCCGATGTTACACTCATCGAGAGCTTTCATTTGAGTACCCACATGCATTTTTATATATTTTTCATATATACAGATATATATATATAATATATATATTAAAATATATGAAAAATTGATGTGGGTACTCAAACGAAAGCTCTTGATGAGTCTAACATTGGGATGAGCTTATATCTTTAAAA